ATCCTTTGCACCCACTTGGAACAAACATGTTTCTAATCTCTGGTGCCACGGAAGGGTACATTTTGCTTCACATCAGACTTCTACCTTTTCAATGCAGAACAGATGGGGAAGGGAAAACATCTGGCCTACAGCAGGGGTTCCCAACCTTGGGTAGCCCAGGTGTTCTTGGACAGCAATTCTCAGAAGTCTTTGCCACCAGCTGTTATAGTCCAAGAGCATCTGGGGAGCCAAAGTTGGGAACCACTGGCCTGTAGGGTTCCTGATCTGGCCCTTTCACCTCTCTCCTGGCTTCCGCCCTCTTTGTCTGGCCACCTCTCCCCCAACCCCATCCTAGCCCTGCACGGCACTGCCATCTCCAATCAGTTGAGCGACAGAGGGAGATTGAGGCAACCCACAATGAATATTATGGCTCTGCACTGGGACAAAAATATATATGACATTTTCTTGCTGCATATTAAGAGAAGACACCAGTTTCTCGCCAGGTAGCTCAAGGTCCACTCAGACCCTGTGGCTAGCATGTCATTCGAAGATGAAAGCACATTAGAGACAGTAACTAAGGCCACTGGAGGAGGAGGAGCCTGAAGAGCATATATGAATGTATGAGTTGATAGGTGCTGAGCCTATATTCTACCCTTTTGGCAACAGCCCTCTACAGTCTCAAGCAGAAGTCCTGCCCATCAATCTGACCCTCTCCTCTTTGAATTCAAGATTGCTATAAGTGTTCAGTATGGATACTTTGGCAATACAAAGCCTGGTGAAATGACACTACAACATGTGTTACCATAAGAAACGTTAATAGTGAACAGCTCAGGCAGGGATGGCAGACAAACCCATGGCAGATAAGGTTGTCAATGGTGGGCAGCCAGGTTGTCTATATGGCCGCTTCTAGGATCAAAGGCAGAGTGTGTCTAAAGAAAGAGCACTGGGTCAGAGTTATTGGCTTCATGTTTCTCACAGAGATACAAGTGGTCCCTATGGGAACAGTGTGCTGGAACAGATAGGTCTTTGTTCAGTGGGAGTGTATGCACATGGGCAGAAGGGTACTATTCCACCTCAGGCTTGGGCTACCCTCAGCCAACTCATCCCTGCTTGCTCCCTTCATCGTCGTTTAGTCGTTTAGTCATGTCCGACTCTTCGTGACCCCGTGGACCAGAGCACACCAGGCCCTCCTGTCTTCCACTGCCTCCCACAGTTGGGTCAAATTCATGTTGGTCGCTTCAATGACACTGTCCAACCATCTCATTCTCTGTCGTCCCCTTCTCCTTTTGCCTTCACACTTTCCCAACATCAAGGTCTTTTCCAAGGAGTCTACTCTTGTTATAAAAGGCACCTCAATATATCTACATGTGAATGCTGGCTTGCCTGCCTGCCTCTGTGCATGTTAAGGCATTGGTGGCACACAGAGAGAACATCCACCCACCATGGGTTCACTGGGCCTCCCATTCCACCAATCATAATAGGCATGATTGGGTCTGATTCTCTTCTTATGTTCCTTCGGCATAGGCCTTCTTTGAGCACAACCCTCTTCACTCGGAACTAAACAGAGGAATGTGGCAGGAGATTTAAGAAGCAGGTTCTGTCTCACACTTGGATCCCATTTTCTTCAACCTCCCAACTTTATTTTTGTTATATAAAAAAAATAGATACTAATTCTAAAAAAAATTGGAAATAAATGGCAAGAAAGATGCAATATACAACAAGCATGCTTTCCTCATAAGCAAGCAAGCAAGCAAGCAAGCAAGCAAGCAAGCAAGCAAGCAAGCAAGCAAGCAAGCAAGCAAGCAAGCAAGCAAGCAAGCAAGCAAGCAAGCAAGCAAGCAAGCAAGCAAGCAACTGCCTTCAAGATCATTAAACAGATCACGGAAGAGGGAGTGTTAACTCCCATTTATCATTCACATCATACTGTATCTGTCCAATATATGCTAAGCAGAACCAATGTTCCTTTATTATGATTATCAACATGTTTCATTCTTGAATGGCTCTTGCCCTCTGACAAAGTTCTTCCTGTTGCCTGACTTTTTTTTTAAAAAAAATGACAAATGCCATCCTATGCAAATCTAGCCAATTGGTGCAAATTCAATTGATTAAATAATCAATTCAAACTTGTATAATGACAGGCCTTACTGGTATTGATTGCATAGTTTTGCTCCATAATTCATTTCTCCTTCTAGTCTGTCCACAATTCAGAATGATTTTTTCTCTCTCTAAATAACTGCTTTAGCACTGGGATGGATGTGACTAAGGAGAGACCATCTTTAAGCACCCAGGCAGGTTTCCTCCCAGCCTGCTCTCCATATCCTTATCATTTAGACAAGGCTATATGAAAAAATGTTATTCTTGGTTTTTTTGTTGATGATGGCTTACTATTCATAAAATCACCTTTCTCTTGATTTGAAGGTGGCAAACTGCACAGAAAACATGAATCACATTTTAAAAAATTAAAAGGTGTTTATTTTTAATAGGCATCAGTCTGACCTGAAAATACATGTTATGCGTGGTGGCAGTCAAAAGCACATCCCTCCCTCCCCTCCCTTCTGTCTTCCCAGTAACATATAGTAGACGAAATTCACATAAGGCCACATCACTCCGCAGCATTGAATGAAATGGCTAGTAATTTTATTGATTTATAAAATGTATTTGTTTAAAATATTTGTATCCCATCTTTCTCCTGAAAAGAATCCAAGGTGGCATGCATCATTAAAAGGAGACAATGCTGAAAGCTAAAAGCAATAAATTACTAAAATATTACAAAGGATTAAACAAATATGATATTCAAATAATAAATAAAATGAATACTAAAACACATTTAAAAACTGCAAGGCACAACAATGTTGTTTTTTTTAAAAAAAATATTCTCAGACAGCCCGTCACTGAGAGAAGGCCTGCCTGAAGAGAAAGGTCCTGGCCTGCTTGAGGAAGGACAGCAGAGATGGGGCCAGCCTGGCCTCCTATGGGAGGGAGTTCCAGAGTCTGGTAACAGCCGCAGAGAAGGCCCTCTCCTGTGTCCTCTCCAAACACACCTGTGACAATGGAGGGACTGAAGGGAAGGTCTTTCCTGATTATCTTAAAACCCAGACAGGCTCATGAAGGGAGATGCAGTCTTGGAGACAGCTTGGACACGAGCCATTTAGGGTTTTATAGTTACAAAGAGCACTTTCAATTGTGCCTGGAAACAGACCAGCAGTTAGTGTAGCTGCTGTAAGAGGAACACAACCAGCTCCAGTTAACAATGTAGCTGCCGCATTTTGAACCTGCTGAAAACAACCAGCTCCAGTTAACAATGTAGCTGCAGCATTTTGAACCTGCTGAAGTTCCTGAACACTTTCCAAAGGCAGCCACATGTAGTATGTGTTACAGTAATCCAAATGAGATGTAACTAAAGCACACTAGTTATAATTGTGCAAAGGCACTCCACAGCTGAAATCTGGGCATCCAGGCTTAGAGAAAATCTGGGAGCTCACCCAGACTGCAGGCCTGTGTTTTCAAGGGGAGTGTGACCCCATCCAGCATAGGCTGCATCCCTCTTCCTTGATCAACTGACTAGGAGCACCTTTGTCCTTTTTGGGATTAAGTTTCAGTGTATTCACCCTCATTCGGTCCATTGCTGATGCCAGACACAGATCTAGGACTGAAGCAGCTTCCTTGGATTTAGAATGAAGGGAGAGAAAGAGTTGGTTGTCATCCTCATGCTGTTTACAGTGAACCCCAAAACTCTGGATGACTTCTCGCAGTGGTTTCATGTAGATGTTAAATAGCGCAGGGGACAAAACAGAATCCTGAGGGACACCACAGGCCAATGGCGAGGGTGTCAAACAGGAGTCTCCCAACACCACCTTCTGAGTTCTTCTCTCCAGGAAGGACCAGATGCACTGCAGAACAGTGACTCCATGTCCCATCCCAGAGAGAGAGAGCCCAGAAGAATATCATGATTAATGGTATCAAAGGTCACAGAGGTTGGGAGTTTGGTTCCCCAGATGATTGTGAGGGAGAATATGCTGTGTTGAGTTTGCTTGCCTTTCAAACTTTGTCCAGCTTCAGAGGAAAGGAGAGTAAAACCTTAGCGCTATATCATCACCGCGATAGTCATCGTAATTGTCACTGTCATCATCATCAACATCTTAGAACTGCAAAGCCTACTGAAAGCCCACCAGAAAGAACTGCTGAAAGATTCCTGAAACTAGCATGAATACAACATCCAATTCATAATCCCTTCTCCTGTGCTTTGACCTGGAGGGTGATTTGCTTTTTTGGAGAGCCCTAAAAGGATATGTTCCAAAACAGCTTACAAGGAACTTCTTTATCAGTCACTTATTTCCTTCCTGTCCTGCTCATAATAATAAGAGGGAGGATTTCTACATGACATTTTTTTTCCATCAACCAATCTCTGAGTGGCTGACTTTTAACATGTTTATCAGTAACCTGGTGGGAAAGTCCAAATTATTCATAAATATGATTGAACTTGCTTTTAGGTTCATGTGTAGGTTGCAGAGAAAATGTGAAATGTCATAGTAATCCTTCAACTAATAACAATCCTGCGTTTATCCATCATTATTCCTTCCTATCAAGCAAGCTGGAAGGACAGATCCTGAAGCTGAGGCTTCAATACTTTGGCCATCTCATGAGAAGACTCGCTGGAAAAGACCTTGATGTTAGGAAAGTGTGAGGGCAGGAGGAGAAGGGGACGACAAAGGACGAGATGGCTGGACAGTGTCATCAAAGCGACCAACATGAATTTGACCCAACTCCAGGAGACAGGGGAAGACAGGAGGGCCTGGCGTGCTCTGGTCCATGGGGCCACGAAGAGTCAGACACAACTTAACGACTAAACAACAACAATCAAGCAAGCATGTGATGCACAAGATCTGGTGTTTTATCTTGGCGATATCCAAACACCATCATTAGCTATAACAATAAAGCCAGCCTATCACCTGTCACAAAAATTTTACTTCAAAGGTGATGGACATGCAGTGAAGGGAAGACTTAATGAAGCAAAGGGTTACCTGGAAGCTCTTGGCATTTAGATTTTTCTGGCTCTCTGTGGCCACTTTCAGCCTGGAATCCAGCCCTTTCATCAGTGACTCAGTATTACGGACGTATTGCAGATCCCGGTAGGTCCGTAGGTCCAGTACCTCCATGGACTGGGAGATGTTTTGCACCTGCTCAATGGAAAAAGAATACAGAAATTAGATGCACTGCCTAGAGTTGAGATTAAAAAGCTATGGTGCAGGGAAAACTGGCCAGGTTCCTTTTTAAGGACAATGGAAAGGTGGTCTCTCGCCACTAGCACTGCCCATGCTCCATGCTGAGGGATTCTGGCAACTTAAATTCCAAAAGAGGAACTTTTCTGATCTCTGGAGGATAGTAGCACCCTGATCACGGGATTCCTTCTCAGGAGAAGATTACTTGCCACCTGTTCTGTGGATGTTTTGGGGTCATGAGGATACCTTTTCATTTCCTTGGGTGTTTTAGTTATGGGTTTCCTCTCTAGTCTTGCTGTTTTGCTCTTCTGCTATTTTCCATCTTGAGGCTGTGATACACGTTTCGCTTAACTTGCTGTGGCTTCTCTTCCCACCTTGGTGCTCCAGTATTTTAGACCACAACTCTCAACCCTCATGACCATTGGTCTTGGTGTTTGGGGCTGATGGCAGTTGTAATCCAGAAAACCTGGGGGAAACTGTTTTGGGGAAAGCAATGTTAGGGAATGAGGCTGCTAAAGTATGCAGGATGGCCTTCTGTGGACGCACATCTAGAGCACTCAGTGTGCACACTGCTTTACAGACAAAGATCCCTGATTCAAGCAGCTCACAACAGAAAATTCAGCACAGGAGAGCAAAAGAGACAGTAGTGGGATGTAGAAGGAGGAGTGGACTAGAATGTAATCTGCTGTTACATATGTTTAGATTTGGTTGCACACTGAGATACAGTAAAGCACAGGTGTTTCTATCTGCTCTTTTCTTTATGAATGAACTACTAATGCTTTTACAAATGCAACAGGGCTTGGCAACACGGAGGGCATTCTGACCACCAGCAAATGATGAAACATTCAGATGCCTTTGCCACTAGCAGAGTTTCTTGCTTGATTTCTTGAGTCCGGGCTAGGGAATGTGCAGCTTTCCAGACGTTGTGGGATATTCCCATCCACTCTAGTCAACATAGCCAACAGTGAGGAATTGGGGAAGTTGTAGTCTAGCAACATCTGGAGGGCCACACATTTCCCACTCATGGTTTCATCAGATGGAGAGGATGTACAGACATGAAAAACAAGACAAGGAGGGTCTATCCACTCCCCACTTTATTCTTGAGCCCTTCCAATGTTTTACGGAGGAGACTGTTTTACATTCTTGATTCACCAGAGACAATTGAAGCCTTCCCTTCTGGGAGCTGAGCTGGAACCTGCAGTCTGTGGCACCAGCTGGAATCTGACTCCCTCCCCCTGTTTTGCACCCATGAAATATGGATGATAATGGAACTCAACTGAGCAGAATACTGATTAGAAGAGAGGCAAAAGCAACCAACCTTCTCTATGAAAGCTGCTGGAATTAGGAAAGAGCCTCACTGTTAAAACAGGGCTGTGTTAAAGCAGGAGAGATCTTATCTGGATTTGGCCCCATCCTATACCTGTGTCACGAGACTCCAGCAGGTGTGCAAAGCATTATCATTCACTGCTGCTCACCACTGCTGTTAAGTCAATGCAATTATTGTTCGCCAGCCCCACACAGCCCCCTTGGCAAGGAAGGGGCATACACTGTCCTATTAGGCTCAAAATGGAAATT